GGGCGTGTTCTCGGTCTGGCTGGGGGTGTCTGAGGACCATGCGGTGTGACGGTTCTTCTCTTTCAGGGAGCCGGAGCAGTGGGTCCACTCGCAGTGATGGTGGCCGCGGAGTCCAGAAAGAAGAACGATCTGGCGGAGGGGGCGGAGACTCTAAATCGGGATCTGGTAGCGAGTCGGAATACTCCACCCGTAGTAGCCTGCGGAGGGGCGGAGCCGACATGGCTCCTCCCAGCGAACGTTCTGCACGATCTCAGGCTTCTCATCACTCTCAGCACTCTCATCACTCCCATCACCCCCATCATCCTTCAACGATCCATTCTTACCCCGCCCCCGGGGTCCCCCTCTCCTACAATCCTATGATGCTGATGATGATGCCACCACCTCCACTCCCTCCCCCTTCCTCCTGTCCTCCTTCCTCCTCCGTTCCCCCCGGAGCTCCGCCTCTAGTCCGTGACCTCGCCTCGGTTCCTCCCGAGCTGACCGCCAGCCGCCAGTCCTTCCACATGGCCATGGGCAACCCCAGTGAGTTCTTTGTGGATGTCATGTGACCTTGCCGTCCGAGGCCGGGCCCCGCTCCTCTCTTCCGGCCGCCATTAACACTAAAGTATTAAGATGTCTCGGAGAACACTCCCTACTTTGTACAATAGGGATCCGCCCTGAAGGACATGACTGGCCAATCACTGAGCCTCGGATACGTTTCTGCTCTCCATGGAAGGAACCAGTGCGCTACATAATTGATGCTGGAGGCTCCTCGGAGGAGGTCCCTGTGAGAAGCCCCTCCCTCTTAGGAAGGCGGGGGAGGTATCTAAGCAAGGTCTGTCCTCCCGGCTGGACTCGATTATTCTGTGACAGACGCTCATTGTAGCAGCTTTCCCCTATGTACACGCACACGTATGTACTCTAGAACAGACGGTACTTGTGCCCACCTGGGTGCAGTTATTATGAAGTATTTGTATCCCGGTTCCGGCTCTTCGGGGGCGGGAACAACTCCTGACTTTGTACGACTTTCTAATGCTTATGTTACTTTTTCCATATATGCGATGCCGTGTCTGTGAAGGTCCTTCCCGTGATGTGACCCTGGGGTCCCTCGTCCCGTGATGTGACCCTGGGGCCCCCGGAGTCCCTGGGAGTAAGTGCCTCCATGACTCGCCTTTTATTGTATTTATTACTTTTTTAGTGTATAAACTCCACAATAAAAATGTTTTATAAGTAG